TGGCTCGGAGCTCGTCTGCCTGGCTGTGTGTTTCCTGGACGGGGCCGCCTGTGGAGCTGGTTGACAGTTGTCTTTTGTATCTATGCTTCTTTTTCTATGTCTGCTTGTGTCTCCTTGAACCCCAGTCAGCCTCAGCAGATGGCCGCTCACACTGAGCATGGTTCTGCTGGAGGTTTCCTGTTCCTGTTTCCTGTTCCAAGGCCGTTTTTCCTCTCCACTGTCGCTACCAGCATGCTTAGTGTGAGGGATTGCCTTTGTGTCAAAAAGTCGATGCAATCAACTACTTTTCCTTAGATAGAAAACTTTGAATAAATTTGACTGTATGATCTGGTGAAATTGTCTCTTTAAAGTGCCTTGAGATGACACGGTGTGAATTAGCGCTATAGAAATAAGCTGAATTGAATTGAATTTGTTCCCTGCTTCAGAGGAAAGTGGATAAAATGTGAACTATACAATGCATTAGAAAAGAATTCTACTTGTATCTGAAAAGGAGAAATTTGAGGAGAAAAAGTAAAACAAACAAACAAAAAAAAAACTTAGGAAAATAAAATATGAGAGAATTTGAGAAAATAGAATAAAAAAAAATGTGACAAGAATCTGAAAAAAAAAAAAAATCTGAGCAAACAGCAAATTTACACTCAAAACCGTTTTTGGTCAATTACTTTAACTATTAATCATAGTTTTATTTTTGGATTGCTTTTCTTTCTTTAAATCTCCATTTACAAAACGTTTTTTTTTTCTTGTATCAAAAATGGAACTACGGAAGCCGGGAGCGGTCATACTAAGCTTTCTTTTCCATTGCCTTCCTGAGATCATGACATAACTATCTCATTATCATTTAAACAATTCATTGTTTTCTCGTGATAAGATAATTATATCGTTATCACGAGAAAACAGTTATTGATTTATTCAGATAACGAAATGATTAACCTTTTACTTTTTATATTTTTTTATCCATATTTTTATCCTATTAGTCTATTTTTTGCATACATTATACCCCAGTGTTTTTAGAGATTTTTATAATTTTATTTACCTATTTCATATTATATGTTTCATGTTGCACGATTGTACCATAAATAATTCCTAGTTTGTGAACTCCTTCACTAACAATGGCAATAAACCCGATTCTTATTCTGATTCTGTGTGAGTAATGAAGGAGGCTGGCCTCAGCCCTGGATTCCCAGTCCATCCATGCCTGTGGGGCCTATAGTTGTGCAGTCGCAGTACCGCGTGTGCAAAAAATAATCAGTTTCCTTTTCTGCATGGAATGCAGTAGAAAAGAATATTTTTTAATGAAAATGTTTAATCTGGACTCATTTTGGGGGTTAATGGGGTTATACCTGTTGCAGGTGTAACACTGGTGCTGTTCATAAATCACCTGGAGGCGTAGGTCTAATTGCTTATGAATCAGAAGTAGAAGCAAATCATCAAACCAACAACGTTCTCATTAGCTAAAAGTTAAACACAGGATTATTTACAGAATTATACACAGGCTGCCATGACTTATACTAACAAATTATCTTGCGTTGTTTTGGTATTGAAGGATGCAATCAGTTTTAACACACACCAATCATCTCGTTACCACGAGAAAATGGCGTTCATTATCTTTAGATAATGCGAAAATGAACTCGTTTTCTCCAGAAAACCAAAATTCCCTCCATATTAATCTTTACTTGGTCATCTCTGTTATTCTGTGGGTCAGAATGTTGGATTTTGGGAAAAGGTCAACAATAAATAAGTTTAACAAACTGGATTTAGTTTTCCATTGAAAACCAGACAAAGAAACAAAAACAAAGTTAGGTTAGCATCCATTGAATTTTGGTCACTTACTGTCCACAGATTTTAAACGTTGTGGTTTTATCCAGGATGGTAATCACGCTGGGCATCTCCACCTTTACCTCAAACTTTGGCAAAACTGCAACAAAAGTAAAAAAAAGTAAAAATAAAAAATTCAACCAGCCTCCAAAGTGACAACCTGCATCGTTTCAAATCGTCTCAAACTCACCGTACTCCTTGATTTCAAAGATGTGTGAGATCTCCCCGTCGGCCATCACAGCAGTGATGGTATAGGTTCCCTCTGCGGCCTCAGGGATAGAGGGGTGAGACAGGTCTAGGATGCCCTTATTGATTTCCTGATTCAGCCACTGGGCAATGCGGTTGGAATTGGGATCCTACACACGGCAATTACAGAAATATTTAATTAAAATAAGTAAAAAAAACAACAAAACAACTAATGCTGTCTGTAAAGATTAAAAAAATAGAAATTATAAATTGACCTTGCTTATTGATTTCTTATCTGGTCTGTTGAGGGAATCTCAGCTGATGACATCTTTTTTTTTTATTTCTGAAATTGTCAACATCTATATTAATCCTCCAATTACTGTCTTTGCATCTAACAATTAGGTCTTTAAAGAAAAAGTTTGGTCTTATTCAGAATTCAAACTTCTGAAAGAACTTTAAATCTGAAATTATTCCATCCTGTTCAATAAATGATACGCGTTTTTAATTAAGAGTAATTTTCATTTGAATGAGCTTTACTTTGTCAAAGAACACTACTGCCACCTACTGGTTTGTGACGTCACGGTGCGGTATCG